CGCCGGGAGCCGTGACGACGGCCGAGTACTGGTTTGGAAAGTCGCCGCCCGTTGATCCTCCGCCGTGATCGAAGCTCGCGACTCGCGTGCCGCTCAGAGTGCAGTCGCCGAAGGCGTCCTGCGAGCGAAGCAGAGAGCTGTGGGTGGGAGGTGTGCAGGAGCCACCGCGTGTGGGCCAGCCGTTCACGCCTCGCTGTCGGCGACAAAGACCGTATGCGTTCCGCCGTACTTGAAGATGATTGAAGTGTTGAGCGGAACGTGGAGCAGCTTGTTTATGCCGTAGGCAGCCGTTAGGCCGACGCCGAACGCGTCGTTCCACCCTCGTGCGTCGCCGATGGTAACGCTGCCGCTCGCCGAGGAGAGGCAGGCGGAAGTGGAGCAGAGCGAGTCGGCGGTGAGAGCGACCATGGGGACCGCGACGCGTCGGGCCCCGAACGCGCTCTGTTGGCGGAGCCGGGCTGCGCCTGCTTGCTTTTAATCGGCGCCGGTTTTGGAAGGGCACAGCGTGTCAAACAACTGTGAACAGTCGATCTCTGTTGGGAGTGTGAATACCCCACTCGTGTATATAGAGAGATCACGGAGCGAGGAGATCGACGGCAACTCGGCCGTCGTGAGTGCTGGTGCGGTCGCTGCGGTGCGATCGCACAGCTTCCCGGCTAGCGCTCGATACGGTAGCCAGCACCATGGACACCTGCGGGGTGTTGTGGTGGCGGGCAGGGCCAGAGCCCCTGCACAAAGTCTTCTCGGCACCTCGGCCGGAAGCCTGCTCGGCACCTCGGCCTTGCAGCCCTGCAGCATGATCCGGATGATCTCTGCGGTCTGTTCCTCATCGGCACCCACCACGAGCACCTCGGCTTCGTGGGCACGGATCTTCATTGATAACTTCATCTCTCCTTCTTCACTTTACCGGCTCGCTATCATCTCCTGCGAGCCGCCACCGCCGCCGCCGCCAGCTCTCGAGCCCGTCCAGTTGCCTGCTCGCACGAATCTTGGACGCCTTCTCTCACCGCCCTCCTCTGCCTTTCGCCTCTTCGCTTTCGCTCCCGCCGCCCGCCGCCTGTGGCGCGGCATCCGACGAACCCTCCTCGTCTACACGACGACTTCGCCCGAGCCCGTCATCTCCGACGCCTTCGCCGCGGACACCGACGACGCCTCCAGCGACCCCGTTTGCGGCTCCGTCTTCGACGCCCTCGACACCACCCTCATCGGTCCCGAGGAGCGCCACAAGCTTCCTGTGCGCCCGTCCGACCATGCCGACTACGGCCTGTGGCACGCCCGCCTCGGCCACTTTGGCAGGAACAAGATCATCGGGCCACTCCGCTACAGAGGTTACGTTTTCCGCCCCGGCAGCGACCGCTGTGAGTGCGCTGCATGTCGCCTCAATCGTCGCCGCAAAGGTCACCCGAGTCAGCCGACCAATCGCCGAGTCTACACCCACTTCGGCGAGCGAGTCACGTCCGATCTCTGCGGCCCCTTCAAGCTTCTGCCGTTCAGCATCCACAAGTTCAAGTTCGCCATAAACTTCGTTGATTACTTTTCCGGGGTGATCGCCGTCTACTTCCTCGAGAACGGCAGCTCCCCCGAGATCGTCAGCGCCGTCCGCGCCTTTCTCCGCGACTACGCTCACCTCCTCACCGACACGCGCAACCCCGGCGTGATGGATGAGTGGTTGACCGACAACGCAAGCTACTTCACTTCCGAGCTCACCGACGAGCTCTGCATCACCCTCTCCATCCAACGCTTCTTCTCCTCCCCCGACATCCACGAGGGAAACGCTCTCGCCGAGCGCTGCTGGGGAACCCTCCTTCACTGCACGCGCACCGCTCTCGTCCACGCTGGGGGAGATCGGGAGCACATTCAGTTCTGGCCCTACCTTTTCAGCCAGTTTGCCCGCGTCCACAACCTCCTACAGACGAACAGGGGCTCCAACGCTGAGCCACGATGGGTCTCGCCTATCGAGGTCGCCAGCGGCCACCCTCGCAACTACGCCCTCGAGAACTTCAAGGTGATGCTCTGCGACTGCTCCTGCGTCCTCCCCGAGTCGCTCCGCGCGCACGACCTCACCCCCACTCGTCTCAAGGGCATCAACCTCGGCCACGACCCGCGGCGCTCCAAATACCTCGTCTACATCCCCGCCGTCCGGCGGATCATCTCTACCGCCGACGTCATCTTCGACGAGTTCTCCTTCACCACCCTCGGCGGCGCCTGGCAACCCTTCAAGATCCGCGGCGCCGTCGAACAAGAACGCCCTCAAGTCCCCGAGGCGATCGTCCGCGCCGAGCCTCCCGCCGCACCAGCGGCGCCAAGGGGCGCGCCCATCGCCCCGCCCGCCGCGCGAGCTGCGCCCGCTCAGCCCGCCGTCCCGCGGCGCTCACCTCGGATCGCCGCGCGCGGCTGACCAAGCTCTACTACTCCCACGTTGTTCAATTGAAGACATCCAGTCGACCGCTCCGATAGTCTACTACCTTGAGCCCGGGAGACGGAAGGTCACATGCCACGTTCACTAGCTCGCGCCTCTGATCAGCGTGACAATTACTTCCTTCACACTCCGCTGTTGTCTGCCGCATCTGAAGACCGCGCAGACAATGGGGGAGTGTTGGGAGTGTGAATACCCCACTCGTGTATATAGAGAGATGTCCCTGTTGATTACTGTCCGATAGTCGAGATGCCTTGTTCCAGAGGGATGTGTCCTGGACGGCGTCTCGTCGTGGTCCTTCAGGACGATAGCTTTGTCCCTTTCAGGATGATGGTGATCTTGGTTTGACCGTTCCTGTACGCCTCGGTACAGACCCTCGCTCCGTGTACAGCTCACAGCTCACTACAATCTCGCTATATGCGCAGCTATTCATAGCCGCGCCTGTCCGCGCTCTTCTACCCTTATAAGTCTCTCGTGTCGGCGCCGACGCTCTTTTAACCGTAGCGTACGACGCGCTCCTTCAACGGTTCTTCAACGGTCATGCTCGCGTTGCCGAGCTCAAAGAGCTACTCAAAGCGAAAGACGAGAAAGAGTGGAAGAAAAATATGCTCGAACGTTCTATGGAGCATATTTTCGACCCTCCACAGATTAGGGAGTTGAAGGCTCAGATCCGGTCTGATCTATGTCGAGTGATCAATGCAATGTCGCCGTACGAGGTGCTAATGAATGCACCGTTCCACGAGACACCCGCCACGAGCGATTTGTTAGATTGCGATCTCAAGTACGACGCAGATACTCTTGAGCACTTCAGCTCACCTTTCGGTTACGAAGGCCCGGAGTGTTCCTTTACCTCTCTTTTCTGATTTGACTACTGATCTCTTGATCTATTCTAGACGTGCCACATCACTAGACACGCCACGCCCCCGGGGCGGGTCCGGCGCCCAAGGGGCGCCGGCCAATTGCTCTAGTTTAACCGTAGAACGTCCCAGCTGAACACCGCCCGCCGACGATCGATCAGTCCACAATCGTCGGCAATCGTCGGCCCGCAGCGACCCGCAGCGATGGATGCCGCCCCCACGGCCCCTACGGCCGACGCGCCGATGCACGACCGGCCTCCGTCGGACGGCTCTCCGGCCTCTCCGGCCGCTGCCGCCCGCGCTGCTGCCGATCCGGTCCCCTTCACGCTCAGCGATATCCGCACAAGCAACGACAACTTCGAGGTCGCCGGCTTTGGCCAGGTGCAGCCCACCACCTTGCCTCCATGTTCACGCTTCGCGCCCCTCCCCCCCTCTGACGCCGCCGTATGACCTTAGGTGAGGGGCAGCACGACTACCCGCCTGGAAGGTGCTCTCATCAGCAAGTCACCCAGGCACCAACTCCTGGGCGTTTACGCTTGACTACTGTACGTGGAAACCATGCAGTGGATGCAGCTCGATCAAAACGGCGACGCCAACAGCCAACAGCTGGCCCCTGGGCGAGTTCCTTGCCTAGGATGAGGTGCGAGCCATGATGCTCGACTCAGCGTGCACCAAGTCGCTCACATTCCGTGAGTTTGTCAACGGGCCGAACTCTCCAAGTCGACGGCGATCTCGAACTCCGACAACTGGACCGATGCACCAGCCGCGGAGGACGATAGCTCCCTCGACGACATCCCTTCATCGACGGACGCCTTCACCGCCGCCGGCCCTGGGCCATCCATCGCGGCCTCCGACTGGCTGCCGCAGCTCACACCCTAATCTATCTGCCTTAGGCACGGAGCCGACGGAGCCATCGCGCACGCCCGCAGCATCGCGTGCTGCTCCGAGGTCTCCCGCCGAGACCGGCTCGGTGCGGCTTTAACTGACGTGACTGACTGATGAGTGCTTGCGATGGAGAGAGATGTTGTTGCGATGGATGATCTCCGACATATTCCGCATTCATTGCGAGGGCGGACCACTCCTAGCGTGCAGACCGCGGTAGCTGGTGCCGCGGCCAGTGTAGACCTGGCCTGCGCTGTGACGCGCGCGCTCATCTTCAACGTCAAATCGCGCAAATAAGAAGTGGCCCCGCGAGCTGGGAATAGGACCGCCTCAAGCGGCGTGGCGTGGGGCGGTTGAGCATCCCTCCGGGGGCCCCTCTGCGCCGGGGAGGCGTTGTTGGAGGCTAGGACGCAAGCGTCCGCCTTTTTCAAACTCGGGTCCCACTCCGCTACGCTCCGAGTCCGACCCGAATTTGGAGGGCCATGAAGTTTAAGGTGTTGCTGCGCAAAAGGGGCGGGGCGCGGGCGCGCGCGGCAGGCCGAGAGCTCTTTTTGGAGATCAGACCTTTCGATGATTCATGCTTTCTAATTTTATCTATCATGCTTCAAGACACGACAAGCGGTGGTGGGAGCTGGTGGAGCTGTCTTCTTATCAATCCCAAACCAACCAAATCTTACAACTGGGGGGACATGGGGTATCAGAGGCGCGCCCCGAGCCCACGAAAACGTTGAGCAGTGCTGCCCCGCAATGCCCAATGCCGCATCGCCCAA